ACGTCAAATATTTCAGTGTATATTGTTTTTAAAATATATTTGTTTATGAATATTATGTGTTTTATTACTTGTGTGAATCTTGTATCAAAATGCAATATATACATGCCTAATAGCGGTTACTCGTCACATTCTTGGAATATTCCAAATATTCCTAGAATATTCATAAAATATATTTAAAGAATATTCTATGGTGTTTCTCTATTGTATATTCCTACAATAAACTAAGAATATCCTGAATATTTTATGAATATTCCTCGGGTTCTATTCCTGGAATATTCTTAATAGAATATACCTTAGATATTCTAAGAATATTATAAGATATTCTAAGAATATTCCCAAGGAATATTCTTAAAATTTATCAAAGGTTCGCCAGGAGCACTTCCAGGGAATATTCTCCAGAAGATATATATATCCATGGCATATTCATAGCATAATACAATATCCTTAAATGTATATTCATGAAATATACCTGGAATATCTATTGCTATGTGGGACCGCGGATACGTGTTTCTGGCTATTGGCCTCATCAGCGCGGTGCAGCTAATTGCAACGATGGACAACTAGTTACCAAAAATGAAAAACTTCACATATGCACAGTGTCACCAACAGGAGCTAACCGCACATTTGTGGTTTAAATTGGAAGAGCTAGCATTCCCAGGCATCATCTAACATCACCACGTAGGCAGCTATATCTACCTGCGTGACTTCCGGGTCCAGAATATGAATACAGAGTGTATTCATATTCTGGTGTGTATGATATGAATCAAAAGAAAAATTTGTAATTAGAACACTCAAAAAATGTAGGCAAACTGTGGACACGTGTTTCTGGCTATTGGCCGAATACAGTGTGTCTCACTTCTCATGGAAACACCCCCGTATCTTCTGTACTATTCAAGGTAGAACGATGAAACTCTCAGGACTGATAGAAATACTCAAAATGCACCTACTACCTGAATGAGGTTGGCCAAAATGATATACACTGTCCGCAAGTGTCTTAAGGCGAAACATCGATGTCTGCCAGTGAGGATGACAGTGTACCATGTAAATGAAATGTTTCAACTTTAACTTAGTATATTGTGTAGAAATCCTGTGAATAATATCTGATTCAATTCCATAACGAATGCTTGGAATACAAACTGAGTAGAGAAAAGTGTATTCTGTATAATTCAGTGTTCATATGAAAGTAGTTGTTTCGAAAAAATGTTTCTTTCGTGTAATTCAATATTTATATGAAAGTAGCTGCTTTTTCTTTTGTTTGTGTGAAAGTATATGTATAGAATTACTTCTTTTTGTAATTAATTGTTTGCTTCTTTCCTTTCTTTAGAAGATTCCCATATTTTTTTGTATCAAGATAGAGTAGTAGAAAGTTCAAAACTTTCTTTCCCAAAAATTATTCACTCTTGAAAATATTACCCTTTTAGTATTCTATATTATTATTCAATTATTTAATTTTCTCTCACGCTATTTATATGTACATTGTAAAATGGCAAACCTGTAAATAAATATAATATGATGGAATTGGCAGATACTCGATGAAAATCCACAACTAACGTATTGAAAAGAAAATTTGCCATACAATGGCTTCTTCGAGCGTTTTCTTACTGTCTTGGACTAACGAGAAATAATACTCCCAAACCCATATGTAGGTTGGATGAATGGAAAGCATCTGCAAGAATTTTTTCTTTGAGGACATATTTCAGTGTATATCATTGTATTAGCCGGCAGGCATTTTCCAAGTTTCGTGAATATTTCGAATTCCATTCCAAAATACATTTCTATTTCTCCTCCTGCTTAGACTTATTCTGAGTTCTGTTAGAGAATAAAAAAATTTATGATGAGATTACCAGGACATCCAATATGATCTAACTTGAAACTACAAAATGAAAAGTAGTCCCAAATGAGTTTCAACCGACTTCTAAAAAGGAATCAACTCAAAAGTATGGAATAATATATTTATATAATATTCGAAATCAATCAAAAACACAATATAAAAGAAAGTACAAAACAAATTAGGAGAATAAAGTAGTTATAACAAGAGAATTTGATTTCAATATTGAATAAAGCAAATAACTTTCTAAGTTTGTAAGTTCTAAGTAATAAACTAAGTTTATTATTTGTTACGACTGGTTTGGGTTTAACTTACCAATTTCAAGTGGCTTGAAGATGGTATCATAAACCGAAATCGGTCACGAAAATTATTTTTGCATTATGAATTTATATAAAAGAAATGGGTCATCAATCGAACAAGGATTTGATTTCAATTCATTTCTCTATTACATTCATTTTTCATTAATTATATATATAAATAAATAAAAGTGATAATTTACAATTTTTGTACCAATTCACTCAGCCTGTACTATTTGAAAGCAATTTTTTTACAATGAAAATTGTAGGAAAATTGAAACCGGTGATATCACAATAATCAAAGGTGAATCACCCTATACTGAATTATCATTTCAAAAAACAATTAATCGAAATGAAAAATCAACCTATCACGATAATGAGTTTTAATAATATTGTTTATTCAGGTCATAATGAATTTAACTTTACTTCATGAGCGCGATTTATAATTGGAATATTGATTTTGTTTGAATAGAGACTACCGAACAATATCCGACAACACCCATGTTGGTAATTGTTCTTGATGAAGTTTAATGGATTGTAATGCCAATAAACTCTATTTAATACCTACACAATCATTTTTATAAAAGAAAGAGGCGTTACTAAGCCAATTATCGGCAGTTGATTACTCAATATGAACGCATCCAGTTAAGTGATATGACAAACTGTTTCCCATCTGGAGTTGAAGTGAGTGGTTTCTTAATTAATTGGTATCTAGAGACATCTGCATAAGACTCGTTGGATTTTGGCACTGGAGAACCGTGATGAATATCGTTGCCCATAACAAGTGCTGTCATCATCAACATTTCAAGTTATTATAATTTTCAGAAATTACCAATTTTGATATATTCTACATAAATTTTTTTTAAGAATAATATAGACTATAGAATCTTACCACAGAAACTACCAAACTTAGACAATTGATAAAGACCATCTTGTTGAAGCTACATCTGTCAAAAAAGTTGTCATTTATTCAATTTGTTTCGCCAAATCACCATGGACGGATATAGAATTCAACAACACATGTAAATAATAAAATTGTTTTATCAAAATGGGTATTCAGTTCGGGCAACGGTACCACTTTGCCTATTTTACGGGCAACGTACATGCTTCGCCCATTTTATGGTCGCCGTAATCGTCTTATCGAGAGGACTATTTGCAATGTAGTGGATGAATTTGGGTTCCCTGGTTCAGTAAACGATCGACCAATACCGTCGACGAAACACAAGATCTGCCGAAAACATCGCCATCGTCTGTGAGAGTGTGCAGTCGATTTCGCGTCGTTCATAAGAACTCGGCCTCTCGCAGATCACAAGTTGGCGAGTTTTGCGTTGTGATTTGGGCCTGGACCTGTAAACGACCATATACAACGACGTGTGCTCGCTGAATGGGCTCTGGAGCATGAATAATGGCATATCCCTTTGTTGCCCTAGCTCGTAAGCCTTTCAACTGGGCGTCTTCCTTCTGTCTAGCGCCACCACTGTCAAGGGAAACCCTGCTTCTCCGAACTCACCTCCCCCTCCTGACGTCGACGCGTAACGTCGGCCACATGAAGGGACGAATCAGCGGGGGCAGAAGACATAACTTTATTTAATTCAAATCAAATTATAACTTTTGTATATACAAAATTAAATTAACTTTTTTAAATACTACAGCTATTTGATACATATTCCATTTCCTAAACGGAAGAGAAAAAAGAACCACAAAAATAACTACATTCAGTCCAAACAAAAAAACAAATCATTAGTTTTTAATTATTCATTGCATCTTGTTGATCACAAAGTCTCCCAGAAAGCATATACATTTGAGGTCCACAACGCCGTACAGTGT